CCCAAAAAAAAAAAAAAAAAAAAAAAAAGTAGAAAAATAAGATGGCCAAAGTGCTGCATGCTTGTAATTCCCGTCCTCAAATTCAAAGCCAGTCTGGGCCACTGACACTGGTTCAAAATTTTAAAATTTTAAAAAGGGGTAGACATGGACCTCAGTGCAAGGCCTGATTCAATCCCCACTACCAAACTAAACCAAACAATAAAAAGCCAATTATAGTGGTACCTTAGCTTATGAACTCAACTCTCTCCACAAGTCTGGTTGCAAACTGAACTGGATGAGAACCTGCCCAAATTTCCCTGTAAGGTCAACATTGAACCTAATCACTGAAATTGATTCAGTTCTCATCCAGTTCAGTGTGCAACCAGAATCATGGAAATAAGCAGCTTCACGAACTGAGGCACAACTGTAAAACTGTGTGATAAAATTACAGCACCACTACTCTTGCACTTTGAAGGGTTAAACACAGAACTGCAGTAACTCCAGAGATAGAAGGCTACAAAGTGACCACAGATAGTGTGGAGACACTGGATGAAGGCATAATTTATATTCTGAGCAGGATAGAACAGTACAGCGTGGGATTTCATTAGGCTACTCAGAAGGGAGAGCAATTTAAAACTTATCGATTATATATTTCTAGAAAATTCCATTTAATATTTTTGGACCCTGGGGTAACACCACAGAAAGCAAAATTTCTATTGTATTTCTATTGTTTTGCAAAAACATGAGGAGCTCAACTCTTCCAATACTAACTTAAAAAGTCTGAAATAAATATATATTTTTTTGAGACACGGTCCTGCTATGTAGTTGAGGCAGCCTTGAACGCACACTGATCCTCCTGCCTCAGCCTCCCAAGTGCTGAGATTACAGGCGTGCAATATCACACTTGGCTTTTTTTTTGAGACAGGGTCTTTCTATGTAGTTCAGGCTGGTCTTGAACTATGTAGCCAAAGCTGACCTCGAACTTGCAGAGATCCTCCTGTCCCCGGCTCCTGAGTGCGGGATCACAGATGTGTACCACTGCATCCAACAGTATTCATTTTTCATACAGGAACTTAGTTGGGGGAGAAACTGTGACTAGGCAAATACTTCCAGTTTTTATTTTTAAACATTATTTAAAAGAAAAACATTCAACCAAATTTTAAAAATTAGGCTGGATTAATTTACATTAAAATAATCAACTTAAAATATGAGCCCTTTCATTTAGGGCCAAGGAGGCCAATAGTTCCCATTTAAACAGCAGGATTGCACAACTGATATTCTTAAGTATACCAGATGGCACAGAAATATAAACGTCATACAACAACCCCTTTTCCATCCACAGTAGAGTTCAAACACTTGCTTCTCAGGTCAGTACTTGAACTTTTAAAAATCAGTTATATTTTGAAATACATCTAAAACTGATCTGATGAGCACACTTTTAAAACAATTCTTACAGAAAACAAATAGCTTAAAAATAATTTTGTGGCACATTAGACTGCTTAAAGAAACAGCAAACACGAAAAATAATGTACAAGTATTATAGTCCTTTGTTTATAGAAACCATTCAAATAAAATATTTTCCCAATTATCTTTGCTTCTTATAATGTGTTAGCGCAGATGAATTACAAGAAGCAGAATGCACCATTTTTTGGTTCTTGGTAGCTGCCAGCTTAAGAATTCATGTCTGTAAATACAAAGCAAAATATGCTCACAAATTCTGGCATTAAGAAAAAAAAAAAAGCCCAAATCTTTTAAAGTTTTTGTCTATCTTTGTTTTCAAGTCACGACAAAAATTCACAGCAGTTTGAAAGATGATGAAAGCTTACACAGGGGACCAACTAACATAGATTAATTTGATTTACTATATTCCTACAGAACCGACTGTTATGTTACCAAGTTAATTGTCCACAGTAAGCTACTGGGGCAAATACAGTGTGTCGCAGGTTCAGATTAGGCATGGCAGCCTTCAGACAGAACATCTTATCTTCACACTCTCCAACGTGCAACCTTATAAAACACACACACAACTAAGTCATAAAGGAATTATGTACTTTCTGACAGCTGGCCAGGCACTTATACTGGGGAAAGTTGAGATTCTGAGGTAAAGTAGATTTTTCAGAATTTCAGCAATTGCAAACCTACTCTACAAACTGTACTGTATACCAAGCTAACTGAACTTACTCCACTTATAACACTAAGTTTGTCACTCTGCTGTGCCAAAATTCACACCTAAGTGTAACTTTAAAGAAGCTATTAAAAGACCATTTTCAAGTTTATTTTGGCCTTAAGTTTGTCACTCTGCTGTGCCAAAATTCACACCTAAGTGTAACTTTAAAGAAGCTATTAAAAGACCATTTTCAAGTTTAAATTTTGGCCTTTAGGATACTTCTGTGCTTAGAACATACTTGAGAAAACTATAGATGCACAACATACCAGGGCTAAGGGCACCAGCACCTAAGGAATAGCTATCGTTCTCCTTAACTTGGTGTTGAATTTAGTAGAAGTTTAGAAAAGGTTAGACTGGTAGTCACAAAAGACACTTAAAACCAGTTACACAGAAACTCAAAACATGACCGAGGTGATAAACCTCAATCAATCTACCTCAGGAAAATGACCAAGCAATGCTTGAAAAGGGGCAGAAATAAAGCAGCAGAGTTAATGTACACATGACAGCTCTACTGTGAGTGCTCCCAGCAGTAGGGAGCACAACTCTCTAGGTTTATTGTTCTCTGGGCACAGGACATATTTCTTTTCCTCTTCTGAATTAATTTCAAGGTAATGTGGAATTTGGCTAGTAAATGAAAATTCCTATTAGGAAATAATGGACCTCTTAAGTATTTAGATATAAGAACTGAAAGTAGCCATTTTAAAATTTGTCTTTCATCAGAATTTATCTATTTTTCATTAGAATTACCAGGGCTGGGCATGTAGCTCACAGGTAGAAGGCTCACTACTTGTTTATCGTATGTAAGCTCCTGGTTCAATCCCCAGTACTGATAAAAAAGGGTAAAAAATTTTCAGGGTATTATTTGCAAATGGAAATATCAAGCCTCCATATCCTCATAACTAGCAACTTAATTATATTATTTTACTATTTTCTCAAATATCAATTTCAATCCAAAGGCTATTTCTCGTTTTGAACAAATTCACCAGCTTTTGTTTTCTGAAATGCTGGCTAATTTATGAACAACTATTTAAAACCCTTTATTTAAAAAAAATTTTGATCTGAAAGTTAGGCATTGTGAAGCATGTTTGTAATCTTGGCAATCTTGGAAGCTGAGGCAGGAGGATTGCCAATTTTAAGCCCAGCTTGGGCAATTTAGTGAGACTCCCACCTCAACATCTAAAAGGGCTGGGAATTATAGTTCAGTGCAAAGGCCGAGTTCAATCCCCAGTTTTGAAAACCAAAACAAAAAACCAAACCAAACTAAAGCAAAAACCACAGCCATACACAAAAACAAAAAACACCCTCCAAACAAAACTGAAACTTAAAAAAACAAAAAACAAAAACCCACTAAGCACCCTTATTCTCAAAAGACCAAGAAAAGACACTGGCTTACTTTCCATATGGCTAAGAAAAAGTTGGGGGAGGTTTCTAAATATTTTATTTATAGTCTTCTAACCTGAGCTTCCTTAGGATACCAAGCTTTTCCAGGCCCAATAAAGCACTCATGATAACTGACCTCCTTTTTCCTTGAGGGGCTAATAGCAGGAGTCCAGCAAAACCCGAGTTATGATCGAATGACACTAGCTGGCTCCTTCAAGTTTTGAAACTGTGACCCTGGCCCATTAGCACCATGATTTACTCAACCAAAACAATGAAGCGAGTTCATGCTGCTGTGGGGGTGAGAGGCAGTGACTGGAGAAGGAGACTGAGGGCAGTTATATGCATCATTGAGAGTACGATACATGGTGAAAATGTAATTTGCCTGTTTATGCATTTGACGTTTGAAAATCACCTATCACAGATATAAAATAAGACAACACCATCAAATCTTTACAATACTGGAATAACTGCAAATGTAAGTTTTCTGGTATGACCCAAATTTATCAATATGCTAGAAGAAATAAATTTATATTTGTATGCAGTAATGTATAAGAAAGGAGAGATTAGATAAAAATTAAGTGAAATTATTCATTATTGTTTCCAGTTTCATCTTTTTCTGGGGAAAGCCCAGAAACTGGCCTCTGGAAAACAATCTTCATATGTGTAAGAAATGGCATCTGCTATTATATGGGTGTGTCTTTCCCTCGGGGTAGATGGGTCATAGATGTTTTCATATGTAATAGTCGAGACCTCTATTCTACTTAAGAACGGTAAAGGAAGTCTACAAACCACTTCTAGGAAAAAGGCACTTTGTTGTCAAAGTTGGATTTAATTTCATAAAAGTCCAGAAGACCAGGATAGACTCAAAAGTCTGTGTTCATGTTTGCATTTGCTGTTTTCTTCTCAGTACTGGGACTGAACTCAGGAGAGCTCTAACCCTAAATAACCCAGCCAGTTTATTCCTTTACTGATGTTTGAGACAGGGTCTCAAAAATTGCCCAGTGAGACACCATCTCACTGCCTGTGAACGTATAATCCTCCTGCCTCAGCTTCCCAAATGGTTTAGATCATAGGCATGTGCCGCGGTGCCTGGCTTCACTTTTGTTATTTAGGAACATAGAGCAGATGCCAGTCTATAGAATATAGCTGTTAACACTACAAACCAACCAATCAGGAACATAATTATATTCTTGGCAAAACAGTACTTTATGACATTGTTTCAAAATCTAACATAGAAAAAAGAAGTCTAGCACAGGTCCCAAGTTCAAAAATAAAAAGGAAAATAAAGATCACCAGCGGTTGCTACTTTAGAGTGCGAGAAACTTTTAAACAGAATTTCATGCCTACAGTTTGGTTCTGATTCAGAGTTGCTTATTGGATGAAAAACCTGGGTGGCAGAGGTGTTCATTTTTGCTGGGAAGAGCCCAGGGCAGAAAACTACTGCGGAATTTAGCAAGAGGTGCATTTCTCTGGTCAGACAACCAAATGAGGAGGTAGTTATTCTGAGAAGTTCTCAAGTAGAGACTGTGCTCATATACTGAGTTGGGGAAATAGCAGGAGCTTCTCTGAGATGAAGAGAGTAACAGGGATACTTCTCCTCCAGGAAAGTCAGGACCAGGGTATCAGTGCAGCTGAAATAAAGATGGAATGTGGGTAAATGGCACACAGTGAGAAAGACAAGTCTAAGAACTGTAGCTGAATGACAGTACGTTTTCAAACTTGTCCTACCTTGAAAGTGGCTCTTTTCCAATGCTAGAGAAAGTATCTATTAAAAGAAGGAACAAACGCCATGTCATTATCCTTTAGGTTATTTTTTGCGGTACTGGGGACTGAATTCAGGATCTTGCACTTGTCAGGCAGGCACAGCACCACTGAGCCACATCCCCAGCCCATAGTTTTTATGTAGTGATTCTGATTATGTAGTTCTTGCCAAGAATATGGTACAAATACATTCCATAAATAGTATTTTCATATATATATATACACACACACACATATATATATGTATGTATATACATATATATGGCTTTCTGTAGAATAATTAAATGTTTTAAGTTAGACCTTAGTACTCTCAGAAAGAGCACCAAAAGGAAAATAATTTATAATTAAATACAAAGACACACTCTATTAAATACCAACAGAGAAGAAGTAATGCTAACACTTCTCCCAACTGCCTCATGCTAAGTAATACTTATAATTAGGCCAAGAGATCACACGCTCACCTTGTTACATCACCACACATGGCAAACCCATACAACCTTGAGTCCCATCATCACTGCTGTTGAGTTTTTTCATTCTGTACTGGCGTATTTCTCTTACAAGTGTGTAAAATGCATCTTCAACACCCTACGATAGGAGAAAGAATGAAAGGCCAGCTCAATTGACACAATCCACATGGTGAGTTTTCATTTGTATTTCTTTATATGAATTTAAAAATTCCAATTTACGAAAATAACAGTTGATAAAATAGGGTGAGCTGGGAAGAGGACACTAAAAGTTTAACATTCCTATTTGGGGGCTTGGAATTTAGCTCAGTGGTTCCACCGCCTGCCTTGCAAATGCAAAGACCTGAGTTTGATCCCTGGTACAAACAAAACAAAACAAAACAAACAAACAAAAAAATCAAAAGGCTGGTTATCCCCAATGGCATATTTTGGGGGAAAAAAAGTCCAGCAAAGGAAAACGGGCAATGTGGGACAAAGAACAGAACCTACAGATGTAAAGATTCCACTCAGAAGGGATGAAGCCCTAAATAAGTACTCAGTGTTGATAGCGAAAGGATTAATGCTTCCAGAAAAGTGTGTTTTGAAAGGGTCTCACTGTTTCCCAGATTGATCTCAAATTTATGGACTCAAGCAACCCTACCTCAGCCTCCCAAGTGGCTGAGACTACAAGAGTGTACTACATTCTATAGCGATACATGTATATCCATATCTGTGGCAGCACAATTCGTGACCAAGCTCTGGAAACAAACTAGGTACCCATCAATAAAGAGAGTGTGATATGATTGTTGTTTAGCCATAAATAATGAAATCATATCATATGCAGGAAAATGGATGGCTCCTGAGGTTACATCATTAAGTGAAATAAATAAGATGTGGAAAGATAAATAGTGCATGATTTGCATGTATGAGAAACCCAAAATGTAAATAAATTCAAGTGTAAAAAAGTGGGAGATGGTAAGAAAGAGGAAGGCAGACTTTTTGGAGACAGGGAAAGATCAAGGGAAAGGTAGTTAGGAGGTACTAAAAGGATAAAAAATGGTCTAGGTTAAAAAAATATATATATAATAGATATGATTTTATATATATATATACCAATCCCCCAAAACAAATGTTAACTATTATGTACTACAAACATAGTAGAGAATCAAAGCTTCTCTGCCTTAACTACTTACCAGTTCAATTATTTAAATACAGAATGACCAAAAATTGCATTTTTTCATTAATTTTTATAGGCTAGTGCAACAGGAAACATAAAGACAACAATTTTATCAAATATATTCAATAGAAAAATCGATTGGTTGAAATGACACCTTCCCGAGCAGTGCTCAGAAACAGTCAGTACGTAAACAAATGCACTGTCCCATCTATGTACAGGATAAACTGTTAAGTGGTTAAACCCTGGCACAGATGCCTGAAGCCCTACCCTTACCTGTCTGGTCTTGGCTGAGGTTTCAATGAATGGAATCCCGTAACTCTTGGCCAGTTCATGGGCTTGTTTTGTGTCAACAGTCCTTGTTGGCAAGTCACACTTGTTTCCTACCAGCACCATAGGTACATCATCTGAGTCTTTTACTCGCTTAATCTGCTCCCTGAAACAGCGAATATGTTATTATAAGAAACGGAATAGACTGGTAGGGCAAAAGAGAAACTGGAAGTTGTAGATAGCCCTATTAGCATCTATTTTGAGTTTTTTTCTTTTTATTGAGTTCATTGGTACATTCTATGTTTTTTATTTTTGACGACTTAAAGAAGAACCTTGGCTGGGGATTAGCTCAGTGGTTCTGGCACCTGCCTCGCAAGCGCAAGGTACCGAGTTTGATCCCCGGTACAAAAAAAGAACCTTGTATACTAAGGAGACTGGTTGAGACTTGATGCAGTAGCCATAGGGAAGCTGTAAGGACCAGTTCACTTTCCTAGTGGAAATGGGCAGCAACCCTGTCTTGACACAAGCTTGTGTTAGGCTGTTGGACTCCAGAGCTTGGCTCTGGATTCAAACGGCAATCAGAAATCATACTCTAATGTCTGAAGTATAGCAAGTAAACTCTCTGCCTCTAAACAACTTTCTGAAGTTCCCTTGGAGTGACAATTTTTTGTCTGTTTGTTTATTGAGACAGGGTATTACTATGTAGTTGAGACTGACCTGGTACTATGTAACTCAGGCTGGTCTCGAACTCACAGGATCGTCCTGCCTCAGCCTCCTTAGTGCTGGGATTACAGGCGTGCACCACCAGGCCTGGCAGAGTGACAGTTTTTAATGGAAGATAATCTACCCACTGGGCCAGGAATTTGGCTCAGTGGTTCCCCCACCTGCCTCGCAAGTGCAAGGGCCTGAGTTTGATCTCTGGTACCAAAAAAAAAAAAGAAAGAAAGAAAGAAAATCTATCCACTTTTCAAGACGGGCAGTACCAAGTTTTTTTCCAAGTAAAATTATAGCTGGAAGTATAAGATATAAAACAGGAAACACTAGAACTGCTCTTAGTAAAGGGAATGGGGGAACTGAAGGACACACAACTCCAAAAGACAGCACTCCCTTCAATGACATAAGATATACCACACCGCAGTCTATAAATTGTTGATCCTTCTGATCAACACTATGCAATAGAACTTCAGACTATCTGCACTAACATGGTAGCCCCAGTCACATGTAGCTATGAGCACTTTAAGAAGTCAGCTATTAACAGGGTCAAGGAAGTAAATTTTCAGTTTGACTTAATTTTAATCTAACCATAAAAAACTGCATCTGATTGTGGCTATCATACTGCACAGCAGTGCTATAAAATCTACCTTTGGATTACATACAAAGTCATGTACCTAAGCTGCTTTTCACTGGCTATTTGCAGAACTGTGTGTTGGTATGATGGTTGGAGCCTATATTAAGGAATGTTTTAAGACAGCCTAAAATAACCTGGACCATGTGAATGTCAGGTTACTATTATTCCTTACAACTCTCTTTAAGGATCAGGTAAAATTTCCTTTTGGTGACAGCATAATTCTGCTTTTTTCTGAGTAACTAATTAGCTTGCAACATACAGATACTGAATCTTTCAGCAGGTTGCTTTCCCCACGCCTTCTGGATTTTTTTTGAGACATATAGTTCAGGTTGGCCTGGAACTCCCAGTAATCCTCCTGCCTCAGCCTCCCAAGTGCTGGGATTATAGGTGTGCACCACCATGCCTGGCTGGCTACTTCTATTTTCATAATAGCGGCTAAACCTGTAGTTTATCTGTTGAAGGTCATTGGAGGTTCATGCACAGTTATGGAATAAACTCATTCCTAACTGTGCTTTATTTTATCTTTGTTTTCTCTTTGCTTGGGGTTTTTTTTTTTTTTTTTTTTTTT